TATGCTCTCTCTCTCAAATAAATAAAAGCTTTAAAAAAAAAAAAAGAAAAGAAAAAAAGGAGAAAAAAACCCAAATACAAATATCAAATCGTTATGTTGTACACCTGAAACTAATACAATGTGGTATGTCAATTATACCTCAAGTTTTAAAAAAAGTAAGTTGTCATAAAGGGTAAAAAATGAGAAGTAGTAAATAAATGTGAACAAAATGTTTTAAAATTGCCATAGTATAACACATTAAATAATAACTGAACTCTTCTGTACTGTTAAACCTTTAGTAAAAAGAGAGTTTAAGTTAAAAGTGCACATATTAATGTAAAAACAGAATCCTCAGTTATCTATTCTACAGACACAGAGATCTAAACTCACCTGTAAAAATCTACCCTTGAGTTTGATTGTTAACATATAAAAATGTGATGCTTAACTTCTGATTTATTAATCCCTGTGGTGGCTATTACAGAAGAAACCCAAATTAAATTTGTATGATCTTCCTCAATGCTTATGCACCAGATTAATTCACAGTTGTCTTTTTCTTTCACTCGTGGCCTGCTATGGATCTTAGAGCATCCACTCTTGACCACATTAAGCGAAATAACTCTTCCATAATAACAGCCAGTCCTTGGACCAAGTCTGAGATGTAAGAGAGGAGGCAAAGAAAGGACAAACGTGGGGTTCATTTCAGGGAAATTTACAAAGCTCAACACCAGGTCACATACCTACTGCTAGAACTGGCACCCTCCCCCACATCTAGACTTGGTTCAGCTGACGCCACCAGAATCTTGCTTGGCCTTTATCTGTTTTCATCTGGAAGCCAGAATCAGAAATCCTACATGTAAGTTTCTCTATGTCAACCTTGACCGGAAAGGATCTCCGTTCTGATTGCTAATCTGAATGACCCCTAATGGCCAAAAATAGAATAGTTGACTCACCTGTAATAATTGTTGTTGAGAGTCTTCCTGACAGTGAAGCATTAGAACTTTAAGGCCTAGTGAATACCTTAATAAACTGCCTCATTGGGAACACCATTTTGCACCAGAGAAAGTACTAGAAGCTTTTTTATTTTTTCCCCTTACAGAAAATATTCCTGCTATCTTTTTTTCCCCCACCATGACTTCTACATAACCACTGTTTAGATTTCGGTCATATTATCTTTCATATGCTACCTCTCACCTTTTCTTTTTTAATGCATTATGCGCATTGTGGTTCAGTGTCCAGCTCTGGAGTCCTTGTGTGACACGGTATAATGAATTTAACCCCAGCGTCCACAAGTACCCTCTGTGTAGACCCATGTTTGTGAGCACTCTGTTTCGTTCTGTGTCCATATGAAGGCCAGAATGGAAAAGGGTTCTCGAACCTCTGCCCAAATATGCCCCCAGTCAAAAATCTACACGAAACTTTGAGTGCTGAAGTTAACGCTCAGTAGTAAGTAGAGTTTAATCATACCTAGCACAAATCTATTTAATTTACAACTGTGTTCTGTTTTAATGCTTTTTAAGCTATTGATCTTGAAATGCTCGATTTCTGAATATTAAATTTTACTATAGGAGTAAAAGCATAGTAGTTCTTTCCTCTTCCCAGGTGTTTATTAGGCAGTGGTGGTTGTTACAGTAATAACTAGACTAGACAGGGTTGAGCTTGACAAATCTCTGATTGCAAATGTATATGGGGCACTTCAGTTTATTTATTTTTTCTCATTTTAAAAAATTACTGCTCTACTTAGAAGTCATGTTGTGAGCTGTTGCTCAGATACTGTCTTTTTGCTCAGCACAGCTCTCATTTTAACCATATTTTGAAAGATAAATGAATTATGAGTGTTTCTTAACAGAATGTCCTTTTTTATTACTTGCTTTGCTAGATAAATAAAACTAAAAACTTACTCTCTTATCTAACAATTTTGTAGAAACTCTCACGTTCTCTTAGAACAAACAAAAAATGAGTATGGAAGTGCATTAGACAGAAGTTCTTTCAGAGAGTGAAAGTAGCATATTTATGTTCATAAAACACTGGTAACTATTTTATGGCAATCAATATGATTTGATGCATATACTATATTTCAAGTTTATTGTTACCAATCACGTCCCTTTCTCTTTTAGCAATGAAATTGTCACCTATAGAACATTTCCCCCATCCCTTCTAAAAGTGAAATTATTGGGACTCCTGGGTGGCTCAGTCAGTTAAGCGTCTGCCTTTGGCTCAGGTCATGATCCCAGGGTCCTGGGATCGAGTCCCGCATCAGGCTTCTTGCTCAGCATGGAGCCTGCTTCTCCCTCTGCCTGCCGCTCCCCCTCCTTGTGCTCTCTCTCTCTCTCTCTGGTGAATAAATAAAATCTTTAAAAAAAATAAATAAATAAAATAAAAGTGAAATTATTTATGAAACTGGTTCAGCAACAAGAAGAGAAGGAGAGCAATGCCTTCCTCCTTTCAAGGGAGGCAATGGAGTGTAGTGTACCTGAAAGAGTTCTGGACTGGGGTTAAGGAAATGTGGGCTTTCGTTCCAATTCCACTGTAATATAAATGTTTGTTAAATGAATGGATCAATGAATGAACAAACAACTTCTCTGGACCTGCCTCCCAAATATGAAGTTTAGGACCTGGAGTACATTGTCTTTGTATCTCCTACCAGCTCTAAGATGTCCCCATTCCATGTAAGCAGTGTCTCCCTTCTTCCTGGACTCCTTTGCTGTGAAATAGTCCTCTCAAGGATTGTTATAATGGAATGCATTTGGTATATGTTAGTAGTGATACTTCACCTCTTTCTTATCGATCTACCTCTCTCCATTTGGAAACATTCCTTATGTAATTACACAGGAAGTCAATGATGGTATGGGAATGGGGTCTTGGTTTTTATACCTTTCCTAATTCTCTAACATATGAAATTAGTTTCCCTGAATTGTTTTGGTTCAAGTATGAAATGGAAAATTTTCAGACATTTTTACACCTGTCCCAAACTCAATTCTTAACGTAATGGGCTATGCATCTGTACAGAAAACATTGCTTTAGTGTTTTAAAGCCACACCACCCAATTAAGTTCATGGTTGGTGGACATTTTCCATGCTCTGTTTATTCTGTGTAAAATGTCCATTTGGATAAATTACCTGCCCAGCAGAAGTTTGCAGGGACATAGCTCAGCTTGAATAAAAGAGAGCCAGGTTGAGAAAAAGATGGAGAAAACATAAGAGAATCCCATCTTATCTTGAATGAGGGTTTCTGCTATGGATTTATTTTGTTTTAAATCAATTGCCAGAATAACAGATATAGTTATATTCAAATTTAACTGATTTAATGAGTTATTATACAGACTCATGAAAATTTTTATCTAAGAAGAATTTTAAATGACATGGCAAGTTTAATAATATGGTAACTAAGGAAACTGAAAAAAAAGCATTTGCATTACAGTTTTATCTCAGCTAAGGTAAAATACACATGCCAACATATTAACTGCAGTTTTTTCTAGATGATGAGTTATTTTTATGATGACTTTCTTCTGTATATTTTTACTTTAAAAAATAAACTTAAAAACCTGGAATAGGTTTTTAACAGAATAAATTCTGTTAAAAATTTAAAATACAGGGACGCCTGGGTGACTCAGTCAGTTAAGCATCCGACTCTTGATTTTGGTTCAGGTCATGATCTCAGGGTTGTGAGATAAGCCCCGCATCCGGCTTTGTGCTGGGTATGGAGCCTGCTTAAGATTCTCTCTCCCTCTCCCTTTGCCCCTTCCCCACTCTTAAAAAATTTAAATACAAATTATGTTATGTACTATTTTGTATTATTGCAAGTTTGGATTTCCCCATGCCTCTACTCATAAAGGAATGGCTCCGTAAGAGGAACAACTCAAAGAGCTTCAACATATCCTACATGAACTGAGACCATAGTAGCAGGTCATGGCTTACTTAGAGGTTGAGGGTTCAGTAGCATCAGTCATGGGAAAGAGGATCTTACACCATGAGGGCCAGCAAATGCAGGGCAGGGATCCCACAAACTCTTATTTCTGTGCTAGGTAACCCCGGGAGATCTTAGAAGAATAAGACCTATCTCTCAGAGTCAAAGGAACCGATAGTCTTTGAGGGGAGACAGGCAAATAAATCTTCAGTGTAACAAGAAAGCTATATTAGAGGCGGTAATTACACAAAAGGGTGGTTTGGTCACCTGGGTCTAGGGGAATCCAGAGGTGATCCTTGAGTCCAGAGTTGGTCACAAGAATGGAGGCAGAGTTGCAAAGGGAAGAGCCCAAATAAGAGTCCTTTAGAATGAAACTAGATGGTGGTTCTGGGAATTCTGATTATTCGAGTAAGGGAGTAAGGATGGGCATGGAATGTAAAAGAGATCAAGAACAGACGTGGTGAGCAGCAGGAGCCTGACGTGAGGCTGGCCTGAGCAGCGCAGTGACAGCAGACTGGAGCGGGTGGGCGGGCCAGATGGTGAAACGCAGACCCAGCCGACCCGGGATCCTATTGGATGTGCAGTGTGAAGGAGAGTGGGGCCGGCAGCAGTCCTAGGGTTCTGAGGCTCCTTAGAGGTGTCATTAGAATAGGAATTTTAGGAGGAGATGAAGGCAAATAATGAGTGTCGGTTTGGGATATATTTAAAGTTAAAACTTCCTTCCTTCCACTCTTCCTTTCCACCCCTTCTTGCTCTTTCTGCCTCCCTCCCTCCCTGCCCTTCTTCCTTCCTCCCTCTCTCCCTCCCTCCCTCTCTCTCATTCTCTTTCTATTTATTCATTTAGTTATTTAGTAAGCTTCTATTATGCCCTTGCTGTCCGCAGGGCACTATCCCAGCCACTGTCCTCGGTCCATTGTAAACCAGGCCAGTTTCTATGTATCCTCAACCGTGGTGGCGGTGCGGGGAGAGTTGTTTTCACAGCCACAGCTACTGGGTGTCTCTAACCAGGACATAGCTAGTCCAGGTATAAGACACAAAGTGCTTAACTCCTTTCAAATGGCACCACATAATATATGTTTTTATATTGGAAACACCACTAATGGCCATTTTCTTTCTAGGTAGTGCCATTATTTCTGTTATGTTTCTGAAAGAAAACTTAAGAGCTTCAGATTTACTAGGTAAGTCATTGGTTAATTCATGTAATTGTAGCACTTCTTGATCAGGAAATAAATAATAGTATTCTTAAAAAAATATGTGCATTAAAAACTGGGAACAAGTTACTGAAATGGATAAATCTCATTTGGAGATGGATAGTATTCTTTCTTGGAGCTGCCTTCTGCTCTTTCATGTGAAATACTTCAATTTTCACTGTGCCCACTGCTCATGCTATTGGCCACAGTGAATTATTACTTTACACTATTATTATTATGAATATTATGAATTTTCATGAGCATAATAAAATCCAAGAAAACATCTGTGTTACCTAATAGAGTATTCCACTTCAAAGGATGTATTTGTTAGATTGTTACATGAAAGTACTGCATAAACATGAAAACTACACAAAAATTAGATGCACCAATTAACTACCTAATTTGTATTTAGCTCTTTCCAAAAGTAACATGGAATGTTCCCCTTCAAAATTTTATTTAGAAATACAGCTATTAGTGGAAAGTAACAGTAGCCTTCCTGGCTGTAAGAGAGATTGCTATTATATAGCAAAGCCATCCTGTATTGATTGTATCTTCTACCTCTTATTGGAAGTATCACTTGTGAGAAGAATTCTGGAACTTCATATTTTCTTCCTTGACAAAATCCTCTCTGAATTGCTGCTGACATATGATAACAAATATGATACTTTAGGGGCTTTAAATAAAGCAATGTCTACTCCCTTCCAAGGAGATCAGATTTTTTTAAAAATTTGAGCTTTAAATGTGACACCAGTATTGGTATGTTGAGCATTTGTTTTCCCTGATTGTGTTTCCCTTGAGCCTAGTGTCTTGAATGTGTTTTCACTTTTTCTTTTTCCTCCTTGGTTTGATTCTGCTAGTAGAGTTTTTAGTTGACATCATCAAATTTGTCATGGTTGCAATGTTTTTCCAAATGGACTTCATATGTGCATTGTATCTTTTCAAATATATTATTTTTCTATACCCCTTTTTTAATATATCATGGTTTATGGAATCATTTGGGGAAGATGCATGGAATCAGAAATAAGAATGAACATTTGCCTGAGTTTTACAAATTAAACAAATTAGGTCCTGTATTATTTTTCTCATTTATCAAGTGTCTTAAGGAAACTCTAAATCATTTTATCGAACATATGCCATCTTTTGTAGTTAATGGTCGATTAAGGTTTAAATTAATCTAGGGTATTTAATGAGGTAATACAGGTGGATATGTAGGGAGACTTGCTAATTATTATGAACATTGGCGATCAGAAGATGATTAATATGGAATCTCTGTCCTCAAATAATACAGTCGATGATAAAATACATACATTAATAAGTTTTTTTAAAGTGGGAAAATAATATGTGTCCTAATGCCTTGAGACTTTAGTTTAGAACAGGGTTTCTCAACCTCAGCACTGCTGACATTTTAGGCTGGAGAATTCTTCATTGCAGGGGGCTGTCCTGTGCATTGCAGGATGTTTAGCAGCATCCCTCCTGGCCTTTACCCATCAGATGCCAGTAGCACTGCATGCCCTAGTTATGGCAACCAAAAATGACTTCACATATTGCCAAATGTCCCCTGGGGGACAAAATCACCCCCCAACTGAGAACCACTGGTGTAGAATAAATAGAGGTTACTCTAGCTGAGAAGCTCAGAGAGGATTTTTTATAGCAGTAATGTTTCATTCAGTTCTGATGGCCGGATAGGACAGGCATGGGCCATTTCCAAGCATTTGGAGGATGATGTACAGAGGGATTAAAACGAGAAGTAGTAACAAAGGTACAAAAAGGCAGGGTAAGTTTCTATTTAATACTGCACTCAACTGCTACCAATAGGATTAGGAAAAAAATAAAGTCACAACTATGGAAAAGGAAGAAATAGAAATATCAGTGTGTGCAGATGATTTGATTATATACTTGCAAATCCCAAGATCAACAAAATATTACTAAAACCAGTAAACTGGCTCAACTCAAAGGATATAAATTAAACTCACTTTCATAGGTTCAAATCTGAATTCCACTTTTTCTGTCAACTATGTGGCCAACGTAATATTACCTTAACTTCCCTAAGCCTCAGTTTGTTGATAAATATAGAATACTGTTCTAAGGATCAAATTGCATAATTTGTTTAAGCATGTTGAGAAGTGTAAAGCCCTGTTAATATAATTGCCATCATTTCTGTGATCAACTTCATTCCTGAGAGGTAATACTAAAAATGTAATACAGGGAATAAGAAACATGCACACATATACACACACATACCAAAAAATGATAATAATAAAAAATTAAACCTCTATTAACTCTTTGATTCTTTGCTAATTTCTCTTATTTTAAGAACAGCTAACATTTATTAAATATTTCCTCTTTCCAGGTACCATTAGTGTTTTACATGAACTATCTCATTTAAATGTAGGAGCAACCTATTTACAGAGCTGATAGTTAGAGAGGTTAACTAACTTGCCCAAGGTCCTGTAACCAGTGAGTGGTAGACCAGTATTCTAATAGTGGCAGCCAGTGAATGGTAGACCAGTATTCTAATAGTGGCAGCCTGATACAACCAGGTGAGTCTCTAGTGACAGAGAGCTGTGGGACCTTTCAAAGTAACTTAATCTCCTTAAGCCTCATTTTCCTCACGTTTTAAATGAAGATAATATTACCTTCCTTGTAGGATTAAATGAGTTCACAGAGGCAGAACTCTTAGCACACGGCCTGTCACATAATAAGCACTCGATGTTAGCTATTATCATTACCGCTGCTACCCCCATCCCCCACCCCTATGTGTACTCCAGTGGTTCATCAGAGGAAACCTTGATTAGGATATTTTTGCAAACTTTAACGTTTTCTACAACTCTAGTTGGGTATTTTTGCCTTCCTAATTTAATGCTTTTTGAGTAGGGCTATATAACTGATGTCACATTTGTTTCATACTGTAGTTAAAAGTGATCAGGTTTTTTTTTTGACCAGCCAATGCAATTCTTTATTCTTTTTTTTAATTTTTTTATTATTATGTTAATAACCATACATTACATCATTAGTTTTTGATGTAGTGTTCCATGATTCATTGTTTGTGTATAACACCCAGTGCTGCACGCAGAATGTGCCCTCCTTAATACCCATCAACCCATCCTCCCACCCCTTCCCCTCTAGAACCCTCAGTTTGTTTTTCAGAGTGCATCATCTCTCGTGTAGGAAGAAGAAACAACAGAGCCACCTATTCCATACCCGTGACTCCAACAGCAATGTCACAACATTATCATGACCTGAAATGCAATAACCCGCTTCATACTTGGGAAGAAGGATTTCTCCCCAAACTCACTCAGTAATGTGTTAAGTCACATGTATTTTCTTTGGGTCTGTATTGCCGTTGCCTTGAGAAAATTGGGCTTTTTCTGTTGAGAGCTAAAAATGCAGGTTTTTTTCTTTACAGGGACTAAAACCAAACATGGAAAAGAGTAGTTAGTGGCTTAAAAAAAAAAAAAAAGATTAACATATAAGCATGCTAAAAATTAAATTGTCAAAATATGCAAAAGAAAATCATTTATTTTTCCCTGCTTCAAGCAAATGAAAGTTTGTTTTTCATGATGGAACAAATGAAGATTTTTGGGCCATGTGGAAACAAGCTGAACTAATTTATTGCCAAATGTTGCTCTATGGCAATGAAGCTTTTCACCACTAGCCTCAAAAAAATGACCTCACAAAAGCTATGTCTGAAAGGAATCGCCAACTATTATTAACTCAATGACAGGCTTTGGACTGTGCTCTGATTCTTAGTGGATTAATAACTTTAAATTATTTTAATGATTATTTTTCTTTTAAAAAGCACCAGATTTCTCTCCTCTTCAATCAGCCAAAACCTATATAGTACTTTCCCCTCTCTTCTCCCTTAGTCATCAAAAGTACTAAATCTAATAGGCTGTGAGATCCTAGTTGACTAAAGTCCAGATAGTATCATCATTAAAAAAAAAAAAAACAAAGCCACAGACAATTCATCAGTACTCTCCAGAGACCAGTAACTTGATTACTTCAAGTGACCTATAAATGGGTTCCCCAGACAGAATATCAAGAGATTAATAGTGACATGAGGACCATCTCTTTCCTTCGTTCTCCCACACCAAATGGTCAGCTTGGGTGAGGGCCAGTATCGAGAATACTGATCTAGCCAAACAAACCATCATTTCTGGGTGAGAGAACAGATTGGCTCTTTTGGTTTCAGGCCTGCCTCAAGCAAAAAGGTGCTTTCATGATAGCACAGGGACAGGACCCATGTGCAGAGAGAGCTGCCAATTTTGGATTAAATTTTAAGCATATCTGAGATAGCTTTTGACTCCTAGTGGTCAGTATCCTGAGGTAGATGTGTCCCAGGCTCTTCTGTCACATCAGGCCTCCAGATGAGCTGTCAAATCTATTCAGCTCCCCAGATTGGCTTCTTGTCCAGCCAAATTCCTGGAGTCTAGCAGGTGTGATAAGTTAGTTTGTACCTAGAGATGAGAAGACTAAGTCATAGAGGGAGAAGTAACATGCTTAAGCTTTTCCAGCTGGCAAATAGCAGTGAAATTTGAATTCTGTGGGGGCAGTTTCAGTGTGGTTTAGACTTTCACGATCCAAGTTTTGACCTGGAATTTAATCATTTCCGTGGGCAAAGAGCAGACTAAGGGCGGCTTCCCTTCCTTGAGTGTCTTACGCATCCAGATTACTCCCTTGGGCAAATGGACCAGTGGCAGTTAAACTAGCCAGTTTTCTAATGTAGAAATCTGTGTCTTTCTAATGAAAGAATATTTGTGGATTTACCGAAATAAAAGTATCAGGAAATGACATCTAATGCCACTTTTAGAAAAATGAGGAATATAAATACATTTTAAGGAAATATATATAAGGAGCTGCTAATGATTATCTTCAGCACTTCTAAACACTTAGGAAACACACGCACATGATCCGTAAAGGAGACCGTGAGTCACACAGACAAATACAAATGACACCCAGTAAACAAACATGTAACAGCAGCTAGGTAGAACTACCTTTGTAATTGTCAGAAGAAGCTGAAATTAAAATTATTAAGAAGAAACGATGTGTGACGTACTGAGCTGCCCTAGAGTCATTAACTAGATCCACAGTGACATGGGGCTCAAGTGACATAATACATGTGCAGAAGTACTTTGAAAGTATCATTGCAAAATTGTGAGTCATTTTATTTGTTTTCAAGGAGTTTTGAAATGCAGTGAAGATCTACATTTGTAGAAATGGGCACAGTATGCAAATGTGGAAGCAGATGGGAAACAGGGACCCTGTTGGAAAGTTAAGTTAAATAACACTCCCTCCAGGGAATGGGACATTATGCAGACTTAAAAAGAATGAGGCTGCCCTATATACACTGATGTGAAATGTTCTCCAAGATGTTCTGTTAAATAGAACAAAAGCAAGGTACAGAAAAGTGTGTATAATATGCTACCGTTTGTGTAGAAAACTCTAATGCATGCACTCTCTCACACACCTGCATAAAACACCTCTGCAAAGGGAAATCGAAGAGTTGGTGGCAGTATTAACTGCCAGGAGGGGAACTCGTGGGCCATAAGGGTGTACGAGAGATTTAACTTTTCACTCACCGCTGTTGTGTGCCTTTCGAATTTTTTACATATGGATGTGTTACCCAATCAAAACTAAATTTAAAAATAAAGAAATGTAATGGCACTAGATACAGCTAGTGGAGATAAAAAAAAATTACTGGCAGAGGAACTCAATAAAAATAAGAAATTTGGATTTCACAAAAGAAAGCTGGAAGTCTCTGAGATTTTTAAGTTGTATTCAATGCATTTATTCTACTGCACTATACCAAGTTTCGAAGACTGTTTTTTTTGTTTAGAAGCCCATCCTCCTAGCAACCTAATATCGAACAATTATAAGATCTTTTTTTCTTTTCCAAAGAAAGGGTGGGGCTGACCAATCATTTTGCCCAGGTTTCTTAGGTACTTGTAATTTTTATTATTTTTCCTTTTATCACAATGCTTAATAATATATATAGTTTTTTATTTTTAAAATTCTCATTAGAAATCGCTTTTGAAATTTTGTATATAATTTCTGCCTTCACAAAGTATTACAGAGTAAGCTCTTAACATTAGAGGAAGCTTGTTTTATAGCTTCTACAATAGCTCGAATAGCTATCGTCTAGCTTGTGTGAAAAGTCAAATGCTGTTTGTTTTCAGAAACAAAAGTTCAAAACCCTAAATCATTTGGTTAAGAGAAACAGGAAATTGGTGTCTTCCAATTGTGAGGTTTTATAGACTAGCCAAATTGCTTCAGGTTAGAGTCAGGGCTGGTTGTAAATTATACACAACAATGCTGCCCTTAGTGATGAAACAAGTTGAATTATGTTTGCTATCTGAAAAATGCTACCTATATCAGTTTTTCTCTGCTGATTATTAATAAATAAGCAGTTTTCGGTGTTATTTGGAATGTCAAGGCCTCCCTTTACTCCCCCTTACATAGCCCTTCTTCCCGTACACATTTCTTTCTTTTTTTTTTTTTTTTAAGATTTTATTTATTTATTTGACAGAGACAGAGACAGCGAGAGCAGAAACACAGGCAGGGCAGCGGGAGTGGGAGAGGGAGAAGCAGGCTTCCCGCCGAGCAGGGAGCCCGATGTGGGACTCGATCCCAGGACCCCGGGATCATGACCTGAGCCGAAGGCAGACGCTTAATGACTGAGCCACCCAGGCGCCCCTCTTTTTTTTTTTTTTTAAGATTTTATTTATTTGAGAGAGAGAATGAGATAGAGAGAGCATGGGGTGAGGAGGGTCAGAGGGAGAAGCAGACTCCCTGCAGAGCAGGGAGCCTGATGCAGGACTCCATCCCGGGACTCCAGGATCATGACCTGAGCCGAAGGCAGACGCTTAACCATCTGAGCCACCCAGGCGCCCCTCCCGTACACATTTCTTTCCTCCATTATTTTAAGTACTGTTAAAGGGTGACAGTAACACATTCCTTACATGTCCTTATAATGTGGATATTTTACTAAGTTACCCCTAGAATTCTAGATTCTAAATGGGAGTAAATAAATCTTATAGCAAAGTCAGCATTCCCCTTTGTTATTTCTGCTAAAAGGACTCCAATACATGGCAATGATTAAGGTGCTCTTTTACCAGAGTTTCAAAATGTAAAATCGTGTGTGTGTGTGTGCGTGCGTGTGTGTGTGTGTGTGTGTGTAAAGGCTTCAAAGATGAATAAGTACAGAGTAGATCATCAGGTCATCATCAGGTGATAGACTTCCCCACTCTGGGCTCTGATGGATCTAGATCTATCGTGTACTTACTGGTCCACATAGAAATAAACAGCCAGCTTGGATATGTTCTCATGTGTCCAAATGCATGTGTTCTGATCCTTCCCATCTTTGGGGAAAGGTTTTCTGAAGAGGCAAGAATTCATCTGGAACAACAAAGAAAAATCAGAAGTTATGTCCGACTGCACCCTTTCCCTGGCCCTTATCCCCCCTTTTAAAGATAATGCCATCAAGTGAATGCATTATGCTATCTAGGGATAGTTTGATGAATCACATTTTAATAGGGGGGACTAAAGGCACTTTTATAAGTAATGCTCATTCTATAGGTAATATTTGAATTGATAAAAAGGCTTAAATATCCCTTTTCAACTTGGTTTGTCTTTTCAATTTTATTTAAAGGTATGACATTGGCATTTGCGGGAACATACTTATTGGTGAACTTTGCCCCAAATAGAAGTCAGTCTATCTCTGCAAGAACAGTACAGTATTACTTTGTTGGCTGGCAGTTCCTGATCTATGTGGTAAGAATCTTAAAAATTTTACTCTACCAGAAGTTCTGTTATCGAGACCACTGGTACATGCAGATGTTAGAGAATGAATAAAGTCTTTTCTTCTCAGCATTAATATCTCATTAAATTGTAAATATATTTGACCAAGGCCAAAGTATTTGAAACACTAAATCAACAATAGAACACCCCCAGTTTCCTGAGTATCCTATTATAGGGGGTGACTTGTCACTGGAACAATTTCCACAATATTTAATCCAGCAAATTCCAAAGCAACATGTTGTAGGACAACTCAAAGTAAAAAACAAACCCAAAGAACCTCTCTTCCTAGGTCAAAGGGAAATGCCTGAAGACACATTTAACTTCATCAGCTTTCATTCGAGATAGATATTTTCTTCAAAAAAGTATTCTTTGAGACCAATGCAGCAGATTGTCTGGGGAGAAGTAGACAGCAATAGGGTAATACTGGGAGATGTGTAAAAAAAAAAAAAAAAAAAAGAATGGAATGAGCTGATATAGAAATTTGAAGGCACTAATTGGGATATTTTATTTGATTCAGTGACTGTATCCAGTGGGTATAGTGAGAATGTGCTGGAGATAGTTGGTATGTAACTTGTTACAGAAGTTGGTTTAGGTTGCAGGATCAACATATTCCAGGAAGGGCAGGTGGTAAGAAAACTGGGGTAGAGGACACGAGCGTTTAACCAAGAACTGTATTAGTAAAATAATCGTGAATTCAACAAAAAGAATCAAAGCACAGAAAATCACACATCTTTAGGATTAGAAGTGACTTCAAAAAGCTATCTGGTCTAGTCCTCTGCCACTGTAACAGGTAAACTAGTATGACCCTACTTCATACACCTATTATTCAAAGTGTGACATTGGCATTTGTAGGGACATGTTTTTTGGCGAAATTTGCTCTAAGTGTAACCCAGAATATTTCAGTGGAGACTACATGGTCCTACATTATTATCTGACCGTCCTTAGTCTGTGTGGCAGGAATTCTATGTATCTTGCTGTCTCTGATATAGAATTCTGACCACTGGAACACAAATGCTTATAGGTATTTTCTCTTTGTAGCCTCCCACTATGCTCCTTTCTTACTCAACAAAGATACTTAGGTTTCTCTGCTTTAAAAAAAAAAACAACACACAAAACAACTCCTCATCCTTACACATTCTTACTCCATCATAAACTGTCCTGTTTCCCCTCCATTCCACTCTCGGCTCTACTTTCCCAGCTCCTAGTCACTCCTCACTCATTTTAATCCGGTAGATTCCCCCCGCACCCACGAATTGCCAAGCGGAATTGCTTTTTTGGTCCTGCTTCTTCTTGAACTTTGTGCAGCATTTACTCGTGACCCATCCTCTCCTTGAGCCCCTCTCTTTCCTGGTTTCCTAATTTTGCTTTCCCTGTTTCTCCTCTTCCTCTCTGACGGTCCATCCCATTCTCTTGGTGGGTACCTCCTTCTCTTGTGCCAATGCCAACCACTCTTAATCTATTCATGGTACATACTCTTCCACGGTTTTCTAGGGTGATCTCATTGCCAACCCCCATCATCCTATGGGAAGACTTTTAAATCCAGACCTACATCTTTTTCCCAGGCCTCTTCTGAGTTGCAGATCTATGTTCTCATCGGTCCACTTATTATTCATCCCTGCCTAGATGTCTCATAGGTTCCTCAAATGTATCATCTCAAAAACTGAACTCAATATCTTCTCCCCTGAACTCTTTTCTTTCTTGTATTGGAAGGCCCCCCTTCCTCCTGCTCTCCATCAACCTTTAGGATTGGACTTTCCAGCTCAGATTAGCCTTCCTCAGGCCTGTTGTACTTTGTGCCCCCTCTGCCCCGTTGTAATCCTCCTGCTTATCCACCAGACCCAACCCTTTAACAGATTTCATCAATCAAATCCAAGGCTCTAGAAGGACTTACCGAGTGTTTCATGGTAGCCCAGACTTGAAGTCTAACCAACGTATTATTATTCTTTGCCTACAGGCAAAACAAATTCTTCATCCAGTAAGAAAAGGTCACACAGTCTGTGACCAGAAAATGAATAGCCCGAGTTGAATCCTTTGGAGATTAAAGTTGCATCAAGACTTAATTTCCTGGAATAAACAGCATTGTTTGATGATGACATATCTTATATTGTTTTAACACCAGAGGAAACATTGAAAAGAACAAAACTATTTTTTATTAAACCTTAAAGTTCCACAAAAAAACACTCTGACTTTACTTGCATTTTGCCACTTTCCAAAGTCAACTCTTAAATTCATTCATTCATTCACTCATTCACTAGTTCATTCAACTGATTAGACACCCAGGGTCTAGAGAAGAATTCCTGTAACAGGGATTTTACTGTCCTGGGAGAGGCCCATATTCCTATAAAATAATGAAAGTATATTTGAAAGTAAATGTCACCCAAAAATGTAACTAATTTCAGGTATTTATAAGATAGTATAAAATAAATCTTTAATAAAGTCACATTTGAATAACACTATTGGCTGTAGACTCTAAAGGGAATTATCTGCATTATCTTAGTTTGGAATTTAAAGATATCAATTATATGCTAAGATCTTGAGCTGAAGTTTGGTTTAAATCTGTTAAGCATGAAAGTAATTAATATTTAATCCTTGGAGGTGGCAGTTTCTGTGCTTTTTCTGCCAACCATGACTGCAAAGATCATAATTACAGCCATTAAGACTATTCTTTGAAGAATCATTCATCTAGCTGTTCTTGGATTACACCAAAGATAAATGCAGTACCTGAAGTGCTTTTCAGGACTGATCAAATAACTAATACAATGAATAAAAATATTTTAGAGTCTGGATAAGTTTCACATTTCTCAAAAGGGGATTGTAAAATCGTATCCCCGGAAGCTGATAGCATCTCCTTGTCTTGTGGGTTTACCTGTACCAGGTGGATGTCCAGGTTACCCTTAAGGCTTACACAAGGTGGAGGCCTCAGAAACAAGGCCCAGGAGCCTGTCCCCTGAGCTGGTTCTCTTTTTGGTAGGAAGAGGACTCGAGAAGCCTGGTATCAACTGGCCAGTGAAGAATGACGTGTCCTTTGCTCACCCACTAAAACAGCCTTTCCCAATTCTATTCACAAAAAAACAAGTGCATTTTCAAGGTTAAACTTGCAAGGAAAGCTCCTGCATAACATGGCCCTCTCTGAGAAATTCATCTCTGTTAGCATGTTCAAAGCCAGAGGTCCTTTAGGAAGGAAACAGGCTTGCCGACCACAGGGTCCTTTTCTCGAAGGACCTTTGGTTGAATAACACCTATCAATGCAGTCCGCAGAGCCCGCGTGAGGAAATTCGGCCCTGAGCCTCAATTACTTCATGTTCTTTGGCAGGCTTGGTTGTGGCCGTTTTGCCCACCCAGACTTTCCAACAGAGCATTCGCATGGAAACTTCTGTCGTGAACGTAAGATCCTTCACAAAATAATCTGCATGGTGCTCGTTTTCTCTCCACCAGACAAAAAAAAATTAAATCAGCAGAAGCAGGGGCCGAGCCCTATTGTTTGGGGTCATTCCAAGCTAATTATTAAGTCAGTCTTTCCGGCAGAGCTGCTTCAAAACCCACCACCAGGTGTCGAAAACCTGAAGGGAAAAAAAGCTGTTTTTCTCAGGCTTCACTCTGTATCACGTGGGGTTCCTTTGCTTTGCCGTCGGAATGCATACAGCCCTTGCACATCTGCACTGGGCCCACTTCTGTGGTAGCCACAGCCGCCGCTCACCGAGCACGCTGAGCCCTGGGCGGAGCTCTGAGTCCCTTCTGTCCTTTCCCTCGGCAGCAGATGGGGAAACTGAGGTAGGTAACCTGTCTGAGGTTACATGAATACTAAGAATTCAAAACCAGGCAGCCCACCTCCACAGGGTGATGAGCGCCCTTAAATCTAGTTAGATTAGAGAATCAATCCAGAAAACCCGGAGTCAATTCAGAAAATTCATCCCGAACATTCTTTTCTTTTTTGAATTTTATTATGTTAATCACCATACATTACATCATTACTTTTTGATGTGCAGTGTTCCGTGATTCACTGTTTACGAATAACACCCAGTGCTCCATTCAATACGTGCCCTCCTTAATTCCTTAATACCCATCACCGGGCTAACCCATCCCCCTACCCCCCTCCCCTCTAAAACCCTCAGTTTGTTTCTCCGAGTCCATAGTCTCTCATGGTTCGTCTCCCCCTCCGATTCCCCCCATCTTCATTTTTCCCTTCCTACTATCTTCTTTTTTTTAAAACGTATAATGTATTATTTGTTACAGAGGTACAGGTCTGTGATTCATCAGTCTTACACAATTCACAGCGCTCACCAACATCTGTCGTTTCCTGACTTGTTAATTTTAGCCATTCGGACTGGTGTGAGGTGGTATCTCATTGAGGTTTTGATTTGGATTTCCCTGATGCCGAGCGATGTTGAGCACTTTTTCATGTGTCTGTTGG